CGATGTATGATAACAGGAGACGTTCGCTGGATTCCCACGAACCACCGAGGCAATTTCTAAAGCCGAATCTTTACCAAAAAGGTCATGGTCACAGTGTGGTGGTCATCGGCTGGTGTGATCCACTATAACTTTTATCACCAGGCCAAACCATCACAGCAGAACCCTACTGTGAAGAATCGACGAAATGTACCGAAAATTTTGTCAGATGCAGCCAACACTTATCAAAAGAAAGGGTCCGATTCCTTTGCATGACAACGCCCGCCCACACGTTTCACAAATCACTATCCATAAATTGAACGAATTGGGGGTTGAAGTTCTACCTCAACCGCCATATTCTTCAGACCTTTCGCCAATCGACTATCACCTTTTCATTTTCAGAGCTCCCTTGCTGGAAAATACTTCATCAATCAGGACCAGGCAAAAAAGCCTTCGTGGATTTCGTGAACTCTCGACCACCCAGTTTTTTCTTTGATGGGATTTCTCGACTGCTGTCACATTGGCAACAGTAGTACTGCTTCAAATGGTGCTTATTTGGAATTAAATCGATGATGTTAAGAAATGTTATTATGCGTTTAAAGTGAAACCTCGAAACGTGCCAGAAACTTTTCGCGACCAACCCATAGTAGCATCTTAGAGGCAGAGCCATTCGAATAATCAGAAAAACTATGACCCTGTTTCGAAAATTTGCAAGTTATTCCGGCCATGAAATGTGGAATTTACGGACTCTATTGTTCGCTTCAGTTTATTACTGTTAGAATTTTTTGTGCATTCGAATAAAGGAAATAGTGGCTAACCGTCATGAGATGATCTTGCTCTTCCTGATTCATCTCCACCAACTCTTTACAGAGCTTGCCCATGAGTGTGTAGAACTCGTCAGCACTGGATGTTCGCAGTATTTTTCTGCAAGGAAGACTTAGGGCAATACGAGAAGGAGTTCCCTCATATTAAGACCACTGCATCTTGCAAAAAGTCAGAAAATATCTCTGCACATGTGCCAGAAAATCTTTGCTTTGTCCAGTGCAGAAAAGGAAATGCGCCCACCTGCTCATTTTTGACCACAGTGCAACAGCAGTTCGGAGGAGGATTTCGGATCCTCTGCTAACATACAGCGCATCCCAAACTCGCATCACACAGTCTCTTGGTAGGCATGTGGAAAACAGCGTGAGAAACCAATGCATAGAGAAGATATTCGGAAGTGGTGGCTCGTATTCATTTTCTGAAATTGCGTGTGTCACTGGTGCTTCCGTTGAGACTCGTCCCTTTGGTGACAATGCGAATGTCCATTACTTGTGGGCCTACATAAACACCACTTCTGGTCTCTCACAGCGTTGATATCGTCGCAATTGGTCGGAGCGGTGTCTGGAGGCGGAATGAACTCACCCGCCACGCTTGCAACCAATGGCCTTTTCTCCCTGGATATGTCACTGAGACCACTCGAATACTATTATACTTCTAGAGGAGGCAGCCGAAAACGAGCTCTTCCCAGCTCTCCTGACACCGCGCCGATTGACTGCAACGATTTCCACTATACTTCGCACTATTCTGAAGGCTTTTGAAATTTCATACTTATTCAGAAACCCACATCTCACGATCCACTGAGTGTCGGAAGACGGACAGGAGAATCATAAATTGGTTAGTGAGGATCTTCGTCAGTTTGTGGAGTGAAGCTGCGGGATTGTTAAGGAGACTCAAGTAAGTTATGAGATAGCAACAGAGAGTGGGAGTATGTCGAAGGTGGAAGGCTAATGCCGTTGATTGGCTCGCTGACTTTTGGCTGCGAGCTCATTTTAAAGTGCCTAGATCACCAAATCTGCTGAAAACTTATATAGGAGTAATCTAACATCCTGTTCACAAATATGACATTCATTCTTGGCGCTGGCGCTAATGGAGGACACTACGATTATCTTCTGGGTTCAGCTTTAGCAGAGGGCAGATAATTGTAGTGTTCCCCATTAGCGCCAGCGCCAAGAATGAATGTCATAGTCGTAATCAGAATGTTGGATTACTTCTATATACAAGTTTTCAGCGGATTTGATGATTTGTGCACTTTAAAAATGAGCTCAGCATTCAAAAGTTATTGCGTCCAAACGGCATTAGCCAGGGGGGAGGGCAAGGTTCCAAGTCCACTTTTGCAACCCTATCAACGCTTGTTGAGTGCAGCTCACCGAACTATCACAACTCACCAAGCTCGCTGCCGGGCAATTCCGAGCAACGAAAGTAGTACCTTTCTTCAGCAGCGAACTGCCCGCCCCGCCCATGGTAAAGGAAATTTGGAAATTTTGCAGGTAGAACGTACAACATGTCTCTAGGTGAAGAAGTAGTTAACCCGAGCGCGCCGTAATCTAGAAGCGTTCCTCGACGGCTAAAAAATAGTAGCTTCACTTGACTTCGATACCTGAAGAACTCTGCAACATTTCAAGATGCTGTATTGTAGACGGTAAGCGTTGAAGCATCAGATCCTTCATGACGATCATATCCACAGAAAGGGCTCCAAGTGAATGATCGAAGAAACCTTGAGGCATTACGTGTTCAATAAGGAAGATCATGATCTAAAAAGATATGTGAATAATTATGTGATTCAAAGAGACAATCTAGCACAAGTCGCACCTTCAGAGCTTCATCCGTACGATATTCAACCACTTGAAGAATCAAAGCAGCGATGACATTGAAACCTTGGCAATATCCGATAGCCTTGTTGAACCTCAAAAAATGAGAAAGATTACGAAATGAAAGCGTTATAGTAGAGCTTGAATCGCAGATCTTGAGAGGTGGAAGAAGATGCAAAAGTGACACATATAGTGTAGTTCGCTGCGGACGGTTGGGCGTGGCAGCGCGGCTGCGTTTGGCGCGGTGCCAAGCTCATTCCCCACCAGTTGTTAAAGCGAGCAAATGACATATCTGCATCATATCTTCGTTTCGTTCATTTTCTACCTCTTTTTGTCCGCCTGTTCCAACCAGGAAAGGCAAGAACGGCTCAGACAGAGTGACACACTCATACTGGCTGCCACGCCCCAACGGTCCGCAGCGAACTTGGGTGTATCTACAAATTCTCTCTCGCTTCCGCCACACGGACTGCTTGAACAACGTTGCAACTGTTCAAAAAAAAGCTGCTTCGCTACCGTAACGAGGAAGATGATCAATTTTCTAACGGGGTGAAATTATTTTTTGTTGCCTCGATTTTGTTGTGTTGTGTCGCTTTGTTTGAATCTGGTGTGCAGCCCACATGTTGTAAAACATGTGATAAAGTAATGATAGGGAAAAGAAACTAGATCATATCTATATTGAGGAGGTGTCTCTGGGTAAACCAGTCCCGTAAGCGCCAGTGGCTAGATCTTCCAGAAAAGACAGAGGCGGTAGTGCAATCCTATCAATCCAGTCGGTGATACTCTGTATTGGGAGGGATTACCGCAGGGAATTTCTTTCTCTGCGATGTGGTAACCAGCAAGTCTTATTGTAATCGACTGCAAAGCGGGGATGAAATCCCACCATTTGGTCCCACAAGCGAGCAAATATTGGTTACTCCACCACAGCTCAGGATCACACGTTTAGAAAATGACACTGCTTGAAAACCCGAAGCTCAGTTGAGGGAATCCGCACCACAGTCTTTTGTGTAACCCGAAGCTCTTTGTGGTTGGCCATGCTGATCTTAGTCCATCAGCGCGCCAATCTTCTGAGCGAAAAAATACGATTTTTGAAAGCACCTCAAAACTGGAGCGAGCCCCGTTTCTCCGGACTGGAACCAAATAACAGGAATGATAAGTAACGCGCTCTCTGCTTCTTGGTGGCAACAAGTTGGCGACATAATATTATGGCCTGTTAAATTGAAACTCGCTTCTCACTTGAAATAAAGTTCACTCAAATAGTTTCGAAAATGTCACGAACTCTGTGAGCACCATCAGATAGTTCTTTTTTTGTCTCGCCGCCACGCCGAGAAGACGCGACCTGCGGGTTGTTGTGCTCCTAATTTTGTCCGCTAACCAGCTGCTCACCTTGTTCAAGGTGTTACCTCTTGCCTATCTCCCATGTAGGAGTACGCCTCATCCCGTATGGGTGCTTTTTGCATACCTTAGACAGTTCATTGAAAACCTTGAAGGCAGTTGGAACGATGGTTTCCTACTTAGCCCTATAATGCTAGTAAGGGCGCGCTGTTATAGTGGTGGAACATGGCGAAAGACGGAGTGAAACGCATCAAAATACTGGAAGAAAAACCTCCGTTCTCAATTGACTTAAAATCGATTCGGATTGAGTTTCCCAGGCTCTTAACCAATCACCGCCTACCGAAGATACGGCCTGCCAAATGTGTACGCGATGTACTGGCGTGCAGCATCACGGCCGCTTCATACCAATCCTTTCGCTTCATAATTTGCTTAGCAAATGAATGAATACGAGCGTCAGGAACGGTCGTCCATTTGTGGGCGGGCGGCGTTTTGGCGGAAAGTGTCGGTGAAGCGTTAGTTCGATAGGGCGCCTATGTGAGGGCACCTTCCTCGGGAGAAAAACGCTATCAGCGCCATGCTTCAGGGTCGCGGAATTCTTTCCTGATGCAGGAGAATTGTTCCTAGTCGCCTTGAGGGATTTATCGTGCCAACTGCCTTTAATCATCGGTTTCTCGCAGAATCAAAACTTCAAAAAAGCGAGCAACAGATCCTAACAAAGCATTGCCGCATTCTAGTGTTCCACGAGTGGTCCTTCCCTCATTCCGCTGGTAACTTTCACCCACTTCCCAAATCTCCGAGGTGGTCACAAATTAAATACGGATTCTCGTCTCTTGTCTTCCGTTCATTCAAACCGCATGCGTCTTTCACAGCGATCAGGACCTTTTTTGCGCCTCATCGCAGTATATCGTCGCAAGCAGTTGAGGCGTTGTAAAGGCATGGAACGAGCCCAATGTAACTGTCCACTTACTAATTATTATGGTATAGAAACAGGGCACATCGTTGGTTGGGGAATCCCCAACAGGGGGGTCGTATTTGGCCGCCAGGAGAGGGGGGGGTCGTAGTGAGTGCGGCAGCCAGTAACGAGCAGCGCAAATTGTCAATGTGCTGAGTCCTGTACAACGAAACTTGCTTTGTAGAGAACTCGGATATGCAAAAAATAGTACAAAACTTTCATTCATCAAACTAATCCGAAATAACTGCAAATATTAATAAGTCGACATTATCTCGTAAGTCCGTTGGTGACTAAACAGTACAACTCAAACTCTGGTTCGCTGCCAATGATATGGCGTGTCCGCGGTCGCGCTTGGCGCTGAGCCAACCTGTTTTTTTTCTCGACAAGCGACAGGACTACCATATCGTTCATATCAGACGTTTTCCAGCAGTTGGTCTCCTTTATCGGAGTCAGCCGTATGGTGGAGCTCACGAATCTGGCAGCGTTGACAGGGACATGTTCCATCATACGCAACGGAAAACACTGTAAACAAGTGCACAGGCTCGCCATGGACCTCCCTGAACCTTATAGACACATTTGCTCGCGTGAACAGACATTACGCACAAGTTGCACCATCCCATCACCTCTGCGCGGCCCTCAGTGCGCGGCGCATCCAAAGTTGGCGTGATCGGCGCTAAACGAACCATATCCTGCTCCTGCTCCACCACAGGATACGTTCTACATGCGTTCCTGGCTATTCGAACACGCTCACTTGAAACGGTACACAGGAAACGGGTTTTTCGCGCAGCTGGGAGTGTTCCTCAAGAAATCCCCATAGCGAGATCTCATGAATCCCGAGAGCTTCAGAAACAGTTCAAGAGGTTTTTAGAAAGAGAAAATCTTCAAACACTCGAAACCATTCTCAGATTTGTGAAATGTTGAGTTACAAAAAAAATATGATTCAAACCTGTTCGGTTGAAACCACTCCCCAACGAATCCCTATGGCAGATTTCTCTGTGATTTTTGCGACGTTCATAAACGTTTTAGTACTTTTAGGAAGTGCAAACCTTCCTCTACACGAGTACGGTCTCCTCTTCCCCACAGGTCCGCTTTTGAGGAAGTTATGGTCCTTCAAAGACACCTAACTCAGCTGGAAATTCTCGCTCCATGGCTAAAATTGCCGAATAATCTCCTGTCACAGCCGCAATTACATGCGCTTCTGCTACCGTACTCCAATAATCGGGGTAATGCATTTTTACGGCGGTTTGTATAACTGTTACGTAGTGAGACAAGCCTAACTTTCTCTTTTCCTCGTCCTCAATCTTGGGAATAGACGTTGTTAACACTGTGGTCGCTGATGGCCGCTCCCAGAGAGGGAGTCCACCTCAGGTTAACGAATGCTCATTGAATTTAATCGCGATACATCGTTATTATTACCATGTGTGTTTCAAAACGGCCATCGAAGAAGTTCATCATACGAGTTTCTCATAATACGATTGTACCGATGTTGCTACGTTCTGCAAACATCTTGTAATTTGTTTGATATGTTCTTAGCATAGCTTCAGTCGTTCCACTTTAGTATGGCCACCTGTCATGGACAAGTTAGAATTCCATTAGTGCGCGTTTCCTCGTTTCATTTGCGCGCGCAAAAACGAGACGGCCAAAAAACAGGGCGGGGGGTCGTACGAACCCCAAAGAAAAGGTGGGCGGGGGTCGTACAGGCTCGACAACAATCACCATCGATAACGCTGTTGCTCCTGTAGTAGAAAACCAAGCGGGGAAGGTGGGGGGGGGGACGAGAGAGTAAGGCATTCTACGTTTCCTGACACGGCCCCGACTGATAGCGACGATATGGCCTACATGTGCTCTGTGCGTATTGCTCCGTCCGGAACTTGATCAGTCCTCTAGAAATGACCCTTCATGTCAATCCGAGTAGTGATAAATAAACAAGCGGAGAAGCAGGCGTAGCCCATCACATGCTGTAGAATGTTTCAACGCTTTGTGCAAATACGGGTAGATATGGCTTCGCTGCTCTGCTAGAAAAAAGGCAGATACATTCGAGTCTCTTCATAGAGTTCACTTACTATTACATAAGTTTTCATTGCTCTAAACTAACTGTGGACTTTTTGAACAATTGTATTGAGCCCCCCCCCCCTTCAGAATCAATGACAACTTCCAACAATGCATCGATGGCAGTGTGGAACAGTCACATGTTTTCAAAAATACTTCAATTTCAAATTGATCCTTTCTAGCGCTCAGCGGGTCGCGCTCTATATTGCTCTCACATGGGGATGAAACCCATGGTGTGTTTTGGACAACTCAAGCGCTCAATACTGTATAACAGTTCAAAAAGCCAGGGCATTTTCAAAAGCCATACCGACAGGCAATGAGTGACACTTTGCTTGCTTCTTAGATAACAGCTCTTATTGCTGGACACAGCAGAAATACGAGAGTTTTTGAGAGTAAAGGCAACAAAGGATGAAATGGAGAGTTACCGAGCGTATGCGAGCAACACTTGCTTGAGCTTCTTCTCGTCATCGAATCCACTCCAACCTGTTCGATGGAGATCCTGAATAAGATGAAATTGATCGAAGACAGGAGGATGAAATTAAAGAGCTAAGGCAAAGAACGTTTTGCCGGTCGAAGTTTTTAAGTGGAACAGTTTATTCACAATTCCCGGCCTAATATTCAGATGTGATCGTCTTCCTCAGGAGCCAGGGTTCCACTGTAGGAGCGGAGAAGGCCCACTACCACATGCAAATGTTAGCAACAAATCCAGTCAAAGTATTAATACTCGTAGGCGGTAAGTGGCCGTCAACTCATCTACCTATTCCAGCTGTGAATAATTTTTACTCTCATATGTTCGGTCAAACAAGTCGCTCTTGAAGCTTGACGAGGTCTACCTCACTTTTCGGTTTCCGGATTTTTGGACATATCCACAGGCGGCCAAATCCTGTCATTTTCTCCATGCCTCGTGATGATTCATTGGATTTCATGCCCAACAGCACCCTGAGGTATTGTTAACGTTAGTAGCATGATACCGCCATGCTGAGAATGAATTTATCATCTGTCCCAGGGCACAGCATTCGATGGGGATTTTGGTCGAGCTTTTACGACCCCCCCCCTTTTTTTTCAGGGGCTGGTACGACCCCCCCCATGCTCGTACGATGGCTGACATGGCTGACTGTGGTTGTGGTTTATACTCGGCGAAAAAGTTGTCGAGCGGGGGTATGTAGTAGGCATGCGACGTACATCGTACGGGCGTACATAGTACCTATAACACTTCATAAAACTCATGAAGTGAACCACGTAACTCCTAGCCAGAAATACGACCCCCCCCTCCCAACAACGACCAAATACGACCCCCCTTTTGGCGGCCAAATACGACCCCCCATAGGGAATCCCCATCGAACCTGTGCCCTGATCTGTTCAGCGCCAACGAAAACAGTTCGCGTTATAAATGCTGACAGTCTGCTTTACAGCTGGGAAACAGTGTATCCACGGATTTTTCATGCGCCATGTCAGCACTGAAACTTCTTCAACAGCACAGGGATAGCGACACTGTTTGGCCGCCCATGGCCAATCAAGATCAGAAATTCAAAAATCCAAAGAAATTATACCCCGTTTACAAGTCATGGCAAACAGCAAGGGCCTTGTAAGTAGCTGCCAGAGCAGTGTAGACCACTCATGGCGATAATCACCCGAGAGGGAATCGAGCAGGTTTGCTGGAATGTTATGGCCTTACCCGTTTCGGATGCCTTTTGGTATGCGGCATGCATTCTGCTTCCTTCCAGAATCCTACTGGCTTTTGATACCGTGGTTCTTACAAGATGACCACTATACTGCTCTCGTAAAGTCAAGATGAAGAACATGAAGAGTATCGCGCAAGATTGGGGTTGTTCTGGGAGAGCTCGCCGTTTGGATTCTGAAATCCAGCCACGCGGTTAACTTGAACTTGAACTTGACACCAAACTTGAGCGATTGATCGGTGGACTTAAGATGGTACAAGAAGAGAACCGAGATTGAACAGTTTATGTAAGCTAATCGATGAGATGTGCTCCGAGGAGCAAAGGGAGCGAAGTCGACTGAACCAAAGGTGCAGAACCGCGTCCGCTTGTCCTTTTATATTTTCCCGCCAGATCGATGTGTGGATCGTTCGAATGATCTGCCGCGATCAAACTGTTTCAACTGGCTTAATTGAACAAATCTGAACTAAACTTCATGTAATCAAGTGAATTATGCATAACATAACACAAAATATTACAAATACAACAAAATACAACTTCACCACATAAGGACCAAAAGGTTACAGTCGCTTTCGCGACACTCCCCCCTTCGACGAAGTGGGCTCCATGTGCAGCTTCGCGAGTTCCTCTTTCTGACTGAGTATGCGAGCCTGCATCGCTTCTTTCGCGTCAGGCACCGGGCAGATCGCTCGATGGTGGCGGTACGTCTTCAAATGGTGACCCTCTCACTTGGCGGCAATAGCAGCAGTCTTCGGTTGACGTGCAGCTTCCCGTTGGACAAAACTTGAGGCATTGTAGACACCTCCCACAGCTGTAAGCAACTTGAGCTCTTACCGTGCCTTCTACTATGTTCGGGCACGAATCCGAGTAATGTAGACCTTTGGATCCGCAAAAGACGCAGTCGATCATCGGCCGAATTCCTTGCGATATCTGGACTATCTTCCTGAACGGGTACTTCGACATCGCTTTCTCCATTGCTTCGATGTTCTTCTGAAGCTCCTCTTTTCCGACTCCTTGAGGGATGTTCACGCTGAGTCTGGCCTTCTTGTCTTCCGGGCGGCTTGGGACCAGGAGCCGATTCGTCTTCGCTGAACGTTCTTCTTCTTTTCCCTTGACTTTCACCGCTTCTTTGCTTCTTATCCAGCTGCTCTGATGATGGTCCTTGTCCCTGTGATGACTGTCCTGAAGCGCTCGTTTCGTCTTTCTCTCCGCTGGTTCTTGAACGAGGCGCTTGAAGTACTGATCGTCGCTCTCTTCCGTCACGTCAGGACCCCTTTCGGCGCGTCATCTTTCTGTCGCTGCTTCCTCCATCCGGGTAGATGACGAGTGTGCACGATCTGCTGTTCCCTGAAGTGCATCCTTTGGTTTGGTGGCCACCTCCAAAGCCGCGATCCTTTCGTTGAGAGGCGTGTATTTGGTGTTGCTGTTGCGATACGACGTCAGGTTCTGGCTGGCTTGGGATCGTCCTGAGTTTGTCTTGCATTGCCTCCATGCTTTTGGTGAGTATTTCCGCTGCCTGCAGCTCTCGTCGGTTCGATTTCAGCTCGCGGTCAACAGCGGCCATGTATTCGTTGATCTCCTTTACGGTTGTTTCCAGGCGCCGAACGTGCTTCTCGATCAGTTCCATGACGTCTTTGATCTGGACTTGAACGTCCTCTTTCTCCAGCCACTCCTTCCGACTCTTCGCCAGTTCTTCGTCTGCCTTTGCGTGACTTTCGTACATCCTGTCGGTCAAGACGAATCGCGTTCCGAATCGGAGAAGTCGTTCCTTGGTGAGACTCGCATTGAGCAGAAAGTGGTTCAGGTGCTGAACTCTTTCTGCTACTCCCATCTCGCGAAGAGTTGCGCTGCACCGCGCAAGTTGGGGTTGTTCTGGGAGAGCTCGCCGTTTGGATTCTGAAATCCAGCCACGCGGTTAACTTGAACTTGAACTTGACACCAAACTTGAGCGATTGATCGGTGGACTTAAGATGGTACAAGAAGAGAACCGAGATTGAACAGTTTATGTAAGCTAATCGATGAGATGTGCTCCGAGGAGCAAAGGGAGCGAAGTCGACTGAACCAAAGGTGCAGAACCGCGTCCGCTTGTCCTTTTATAGACCATTTTCCCGCCAGATCGATGTGTGGATCGTTCGAATGATCTGCCGCGATCAAACTGTTTCAGCTGGCTTAATTGAACAAATCTGAACTAAACTTCATATAATCAAGTGAATATGCAGAACATAACACAAAATATTACAAATACAACGCAAATACAACTTCACAACTTAAGAATCCAAAAGGTTACAGTCGCTTTCGCGACAAAGAGCAATTCACTTACCACTGAGGATTTACAGAAATGTTTGACCGTTTCTCAATTATAAGCCCTAAGGTTGACAGTTTCGATGGGGAATTGGTGGTAGTACCAATCAATAATCATCTGGGTAAGAATGACCTCGCCTTTGAAGAGCAAAGTGTGATTAACCAATGACCGCCCATTATTTCGCCACCTCCGCCGAAGAAGAACATGAAGAGCAGTTCACTTACCACTGAGGATTTACAGAGATGTTTTACCGTTTCTTAATTATAAGCCCTAAGGTTGACAGTTTTGATGGGAAATTGGTGGCTGTAGGGTGAGGATGGAGCTAAAAGTTGCCGCAGGAGTATGCGGTCGTACGTGCTCTCCGTTCGCTGCAGACACCGTGCCGTGTCAAAGGGCTGGGTTCAAGAACTATTTACGCCCGTCATTGCAATGGTACAGAAGCGGAAAAAACTTGGAACGAGCTAACGTGATGCGCTTTTTGGTAGCTTCATCAGACTATTTTGAAGCTCATATAGAAACTTTGCTTGCTCAATGTCAGATTAAGGACGCAGGTTACGCATGTCAGTAGTATAACGGTTTCAAAAATAGGGTTGGTCGAGTAACGTCACCTGGGGACAGGATAGTGAAAAATACTGCGGTAGGGCACTTCGTAACGCTGATATTGGATTCAATGTAAAGCTTATTGTGCTCAGGAAAGAACAGAAGACTGTGCAGTGTGATGAACGAGTAGAAGAAGAGAAATGGAACATCTGGGTACGAATGACCTCGCCTTCGAAGAGCAAAGTGTGATTAACCCATGACCGCCCATTATTTCGCCACCTACGCCGAAGAATGTTGGGCAGACAGAACAGTGGGAAATTTAACTCCATCCAAAAAAGTCGAAGAACAGTTTCGCTGTCGATGAAGCACCTTCTGGGATGCGGTGCATTCTAACTTCGTATAGAACCGTAGTGACTTTCGAATGCGATTTGGTAACTACAGTGACTTGCGGGGGTCAACCGATGAGCAATTCAGTGTTTTCTACCAGACTAGTCTTGGAGCCTCGCAGGTTCGATCGGTCCGGTGTGAGTTGATCCGGGACTCGACCTTAAGGGGAATAAATATGAAAACTCTTGTTCCAAGTCTTTTTGCGTAGCGCCAGTCGCAACTAACTAACGCCCCTTGCGCCCTCCTTCATTCTTTCGGTGATTTTTTTCACAAACCAACAGAACAACCGTACCTTGAGTTGTTTTGTTATGATAACTGCTGTTTAATGCCGCAGTACGCGTTCCGAATGACGTACCTTGAGTATTTGTGAGTGGATTTTGCTGTCGTCTGGTTGAACCTTTCTCGCTGAAAGTGCTGCTCCGAATGTCATCCCAATCCAACCCAGCTGATAGTATGTACAAGTCGCCCAATGCTGACCACAACTAGAAATTGCATTAAGGTTTATTCGGTGACTTGATCAGTTTTCATGATGCTCTTATTCAGAGTAACCGATTTTTTGATTTTTTGTTTTTCCCTAGAAGGAAAACAGTCTACTAGAGGAACATTCAAGGGCTGTTCGCCATTAGTGTCTATGTTTGTCCCCGAAATGTGCGAGGGGGAAGAAGCCTACGTGACCAATCATTAGAAGAAGGGATGAAGTCTTCACTGCTGATCACTCCCTTTCTGTGATACGGCACTCATTTCAGTTCCTTTTCAAAAAGCAGGGGCTTATTGTACGCGATGTGCAATACACATCGCGTTCTACACAACAATTTGTCTGGTCACTCAACGCAAAAGTCACTTTTTTATCGGCCCAGACAAACCAGCAGCCAGTTCAATGTCGCAGGATGGTAGAAAGCTTACTTTGTCTGGGCGGGATACCAGCGGGCCGCACGTGTGATAAGTGGCCAGATGCCGGTGCACCACCTTTCGTCATAAATAAAACAGTATTGGACAACTTCACGATCATGTTATATTTGGTGATCCGCATGAGAAGACGACCAAAACTAGCCTTGCATCTGATGAGACTTGGCAGTCCGCCAGGCATACGAGCCATTACTCGCATAGCTCTCTTCCACTCCTCTACTCCTTCGCGAGTCGATGGCGGTTTAAGACTGAACCGCAGTTTCGAATCCGCACCTGAACACTGTGCGACCAAATTGGTTACAGTCATAGAGTTCTCCCAAAATGCAAAAGCTTACTGGTTTTCGAAGAGTTCGCCATCAAAATCGCACTAACAATGGCACATTTTGTGGCCTGCTTTGCCTTGTAATATGATCGCTGTCGGACCATTTTGACAAGTCGTTGGTTAGCACGCTCAATTTCTCTCATCAACACAGTGATTTCTTTTATTAACTGAGGTTGATCTGCAATTACCTTCACTTATTAACTGTGATTTATCATGTTCTTAACTCGCCACAATGCCACTTTTCTTGGTTTCTTTTGAAAATAATTCGCGACGAAGCGAGCTCCGGAAGCCTACTGAGAGTATGGTAGAAAGGCCAGAGCCAAACATAGATGAGTATAAAAGCGGGCGAGATGGCCGTGACGGTCCCTCGCAACTATGAACGCATAGGCAGGATTACTATGGAGAATGACGGTATCGGCCCCTTAGTTCTCTATTCCAAGCCGCGACAGTTGAACAGCCTGTGCGGCTGGATAACGAGTACTTTATACTAAGCGATTCTACCTATAAATGGTGGCGGATAGTGGCTTGGATAAAACTAGTCTGACTAGGGAAGGTCGTCAGGGATGCTGGATAAAACTAGTCTGAGGGAAGGTCGTCAGGTCGAAGTGGCCATTTGTGATGAGATGTAGATCACTAGACGTGGTTTTGGACGCTGATCTTGAATCTGCCTTCAAAATTTGCAAAGCGATTCTCTGAACGGAGTTATGGAGCCGCGTTTACCACGCAACAGGTCATGGGATCGGATCCCTGCTGAGCTTAACTTTTTTGCTTGTTGCGCAAACGTGGCAAAAAGTGATTTTGCCGTCACTACTACTTCAGTTCTCACCTGAGCTTGTCTGAAGAAAAGTTTGCCTCCATTTATTACTGCGCTTGGACTCCTTGTAGAAGCACTGTAGTGCACTGTAGTCTACAAGGAGTCCAAGCGCAGTAATAAATGGAGGCAAACTTTTCTTCAGACAAGCTCAGGTGAGAACTGAAGTAAGTAGTGACGGCAAAATCACTTTTGCACGTTTGCGCAACAAGCAAAAAAGTTAAGCTCAGCAGGGATCCGATCCCATGACCTGTTGCGTGGTAAACGCGGCTCCATAACTCCGTTCAGAGAATCGCTTTGCAAATTTTGAAGGCAGATTCAAGATCAGCGTCCAAAACCACGTCTAGTGATCTACATCTCATCACAAATAGCCACTTCGACCTGACGACATTCCCTAGTGAGACTGGAAGCGGGGCTGGTGGATTCTGGCAACCACACAATACATCACCCTTAGAATCTGTGGGGGAAATATGTGGAATATACAAGTGGCAGAGCAAGAGGGTCGAATGAAAATGAAATGAATGAAAATTCGAGGAACTACCGAACGTCTGCAGCATCTCTGACGTGAGTCGATGAGGCTGAAACAGACTATGTCGACTGAAAAGACTTCCGTCATATGCTATCCGCATATCTCTGAAATGAGAAATCTGAATGTATGAGGACATTCGCTTTCACATGAAGAGCATGGTTTAGCTAATTTCCATAGTCATATCCAACGTAATTGCTCACTTAAATGAATTCGGTGACGAGTCGTCATGATAAATCTGTGCCAGTAAGCTTTGAATAGACTTCATTCGCTCTTCAACAGTTGATGGGTCATAGCGAGTGAGAAACCTAAATCTGTGTGAGACTGAAAGTAATCTACTATGCATGGATCAGATTGGCTGAACGTTCCGTAGGAGGGTGAAGTTCATACTTCGAGGTTGTGGGGGGGGGGGGGGGGTGGAAGACCGTCGATCTGGTTGTGAGCACGATTGCAGACTTTTGCCAGTTCAGGGAGCAGCCTGGACAGTATGTGCGTGAGACGGGGCGGATGACATACGAAATCATTACTGTATTTAGACCTAGTTGTTGCCTCAAAGGCAAACTCTACACCCACCCGTGATTCTGGTCACTGCCATGTGCAAGGTGAATAAGCACACAGCTGCAGTTGCTGACACTTTCTCGGTCCAAAAGTGCACTGGAACAGGGCTAGAAGGTAGCGATATCTGTGTGTCACCTCACCACACGGCCCGCGTGAGCTGGGGTCTGACCAGTCCACGTTTTACCATGACCAAACGCTGTACTTGTCTCTGCTCTTTCACTTCTGTTTCTTCTCTACCTCTGACTGCGTATTCGCTGTGAGGTTTTGGTATCGAGGCACGTACCTGCCCTTGAGGCTTGTACAGGCGAGGCCAGAAAATGACATTTGGGCACGCTACTGCAGCTGTGGACCCATTTGCCTCGCACATGGCAAGGCGTCATCGTAGGAAACGGGATGACGTCCACAGTTGTTGCGCTAAACCATGTGAAACCGCTCTCATTCGCAGAATACTCCTCTCCTGCGTCTCCACCAAAAAAATAACCGTTACAACTCACCCAACAAAAAAACCAATAACACTTACCCGGCCGCTCGAATAGGAGAGAAAGCGCAGTCGGAAAGAGCGCTTTGAGAGACGGCATGGTGAACGGATGGTCTGGCTGGTTCGGAAACTGATTCTTGAGCTGGGCGAGTATTTTCCCACTGAGAGAATGATTGATGCAAATTACTCACATGTGATAACTTTGATGACAAACTTACATTCATTTCACTCGCCGTTCTGGAAAACTCACTAGAGAAACACAACTGAAAATCAAGTGGAATAAAGGGCGAAATCGTAGTCAATGCGCAGTGTAGGGTAAACCTCGTCGGGCCTGAGTGCGAAAGGTTCTTTGTTGAAATGTATTTCAGGTTGTGAGTAACTTCGACGACCCATCTTGTGACTGCAATGCAACATCTTTCACAATATTAAAAAAATTTGAGTGACTGAAACTCGGCTGACCCTGACTGTAGCTGCTCTCGCACTCCTCCTCTGAATACTGCACTTTGTCGTTTGTATTTTTATTGTGCAGCCTTGTGTACACAGTTGAAAAACCCATATCACCTGAGAGATGGATCCCACTCACTGCATAAATAGCACAGCTACACAACGACGTAGGTAGTGTCACCTTCGCTCTCGAATGTGCGTCACAAGGGTGTCAAGGATTTCTTATCGTCAGTGACGCCGCCTATGCCAAATTGCAGCGGAATTGGATCTACGTACTGCGTGTCATTGTGACATTCGCCTTTCGTCAGGGCACATCGTTGTTGGGGATTCCCCAACAGGGTTGGGTCGTATTTGGTCGCTGAGAGAGGGGGTTCGTATTTGGGCTGAGAAAATTTTTTTGATAGTTGATTTTTCTTGTTTCAGGGAGGGGGCGTGTTTCCCTTCTGAGAGAAGTTGCTGACTTTTCGTAGTTTTTCATGTTTCATGTGTACTACCCTCCCCTCAACAGCTCGACGAAGAGGAAACCAGGGGGGAGCAGACCCCTCCTTAAAAAGGGGAGGGGGTTGTAGGGACTCCACCGAAATCCCCAACTAATGGTGTGCCCTGCTCGTTGTATGTAGGGATGCAAGGCTCTCGTTCGCGCGGGTGTAGAGCGCTATTTTCCAATCGCAGCGATGCAGTACATCTTGGGAGATAGAGTCGACGCGCAACGCCACTGCCTTCATGACTGGGTTGGGTCCTGGTGCGAATGCTGCGTAAGTCACCTCGTTTTCTACGCCTATATCGCCCCGACTGGGAAGAAACGCCTTCACATTCAGTCTTCCTACGTCTTTCGTTTCCCTGAGCGCATCTGTCTCAGTTCACCACATTTTCGATCGAAACCAACACCATCTTATGAGGGTGACACTGACTTTCAGCATGGAATTTCGTCTACTCTTTTTTTTCGCTGCTGAGTCAACTAGCAGCTACAGTTTCACGTTCGAAGACCACCCATGACTTGTAACCGCAGAATAGGTACTAGAAATGACTTGGAGCAAGTTCTGGTTAGACGTCAAGAAAGTCAAGACTTCGAGTTCAGTTCAGATTGCTCAGTGTTTTCAGAATTTTAAAGAGACCTTAGCAGGGTGAGTGAGAGTAGAAGAACACTCTTTCTTAAGGACACATGGTACAATCACCCATAGTTTGGGTGTGCGTGACTATCAGCCCCCTACAGTACCCACCGTAAGTGTTCAAAAAATTACGAAAAAAACGCCGATCCGCGTTTTTTCGTTATAGAGCTGTTCCTGTTGACTTTTTGTATAGATACCCATATATGATTAGAATCAGCTCGCCGAGCTGTATCCGAGGGTATGCTCATATTCTACGACATTGGGTTTTGGCCGGCGCCATTTGGCGCCACTTGGCGACACCTTAGCGCCACAACTTTTCTCAACAAGGTCTGTATAAACTTGCTTACTGGGGCTATTCAGTGCCCTGC